TGGAGTCAGCTGAACCTGAGTTTGGAGCCTGGTTTCTGCATGCGGTGGCTGTGTGAGCTCGGGCAGCTGCACAGCCTCTCGGCTCCAACTCCCCCTTGCTGTGAAGCACCTGTCCAGTGGGGCACCCTTCCGGGTGAGAGGGAGTGTTCATCAGTTGTGCTGCCCTGGGGTCCATGGCAGGCCCTCGGGCTTGCTAAGTAAACACTGCCCTGCTGGACTACACCTCCAGCTCCTTACAAAGAGATTCCTCAGCTCGCGATGGCCGGTACCTAGCAGACGTCCAGTGTGTGAGGCAGTTGTTCTACTCATCTGTAGCAGGATTGTTATTTTTTCTGTGAAGTGGAGAGCCTGCCTCCTAGGGATAAGGATAGACAGCTCGGAGTGAGTGGTAGCTGGTAGCATTCCTTTGCTTGTGTTTATCATGTGACTGGAATATTCTGGCGTTTAGGGCAGTGGGCGTGAACACCCTGAGGTGAAAAGAAAGAAGTGTGCACACTGTGTGTCTGGCGTTACCCTGGGACGTGACATAGCATTTTGGATTCCTAATTCATACAGTAGTGTCATTTGTCTATGTTGACGGGAATTTAACTGCCTTTGGTTCTAATTTTCAGTGTAGCTGAGGCTGTGTACTCTTGGTGATCCTCCTGCCTCAGCCTCCCGAGTACTAGAATTACAGGTGTGTGTCACCACGCCCAGCTAAATTTTCCTTCTTAAATTAATGATCAACTGGGCATCACCCAGCCCTACTGTGTCCACTGCACAGCATCACACAGCCGAGCAGAAGTCTCATTTGTAACTTTGTCACTTTGAACACAAGTAGCATGAGTGAGACTTGAGTTCCTGTGTACTGATGTGTTCATTTGTCAATATCGAAATGTGAACTGAATAAGTGAACACCTAGAAATAAGACATGAGGTAGAGCATCTGGAGCAGAGAGAGCTGCTTGATACAATCCACTGTTGGGATAGGTTGAAGAATAGGTTCAGAGCGTGTCGTGACCGGTGCTCAGGGTGTGGTTTGTGGACCTGGTGTTAATATCTTATCAGATCCAACCTTTGATTTCCTGTCTTTGTAACACTAGCACTTCCTTGGACAGCATGGGAGAGAGTAAGTCCCGTTTGCCAGTGCCAGGATTTGGGATTACGCATTCTGAAAACTCGTTCTCCTCTGTCTACAGCCCTGAACGAGCGTGACAGCTTCTTGGCAGTTGAAAATTTTTCTTACAAGATAGGTGGTGCTATTTTAATGAGCATGATTTTAAACATTATTTTTTAAACATGACTTTTAAACATTACTGTAGCATGAGCTACAATAATTTGGAAGGTTTGCGAAATTTAGTGAACCAGCATTTTCCAGAGAGGAAACGTGTGACATCACAGAATTGTATCTGAGTAGACGGTCCATCCTTAGGTCAAAACAAACCTTATGCCCAGTGTAAGAGTCCAAGTGATTATTGGGAAGGTTTTAGATTCACACTGTGTACGAGCCTTTGAGAAACTTATCTCTGGTTAAATCAAAGGCCACATGAAGGGAGTCTGCCTCTGTCCCTTTACAGAGCTGTGTAGGGCTGTCTTTTCTTCATATACTTTAATCAAAATACCATTTTTGCAACAAACTGAATATAACTGCAGGAGGAAGCATCCATTTCACTTTGGTTAACATACTTACTAGATTTATTTGCCAAATAGTAACAATGCCTACTTTCACTTTCTTTCTTTTTCTTCTCCCCTTTTTTTCTTTTTGAGCCCAGGGCCTTCACATTGAACTGCATCCCTAGCCTGGTGTGTGTTTTGTGGTAGGGTCTCCCTAAATTGTCCATGCTGGACTCACATTTGGGAACTGCTCGGCCTTCCAGTTTGCTGGGATTACAGGTGTGTGGTGCCAGGCCTAACTTTATAAAGATGTGTTTCCATGATATTATGTAATGGGATTGTTGCTGGTTTTAAGTTAATAAATATTTTGAAATTTCTCCAAAATACAAATCCTTGGTAGGCTCTTTAATTTAGAATGTAAAAGGGTTCTGAGATCTGAAGGTTTGAGATTTGCCATGTTGGAAGAAAGAGTACTAGTTTCACCATATGGTGATTAAGAGTTTAGCTTACAAGCTGTGGATGTTTGTTTGTTTCAAGCAGGACTTCAATGTGTAGTCCTGAACTTCCAAGTAGCCCAGGCTAGCCTCAAACTCATGACAGTCCTTTTTCCTCAGTCTCCCCAGTGTTGAGATTACAAGCGTGCACCATCATGCCCAGCATGATACTGTACTTAAGCATTAATTTCTGGTGATTTTTTTTTTGGTCACATCTTGCATTAGTAGTCTAGAAATGCTCATGCAGCCTTGGGAACTTTAAATGCATCCTAAATGCCCAGGCATGAACCAAATTCTAGAGGAAATTCTCTAGAAGCTTATACAGTGCCAAGGTGGGCAGAGTTGGAGATACCCAATTTAGAGCAGAGTATCCCTCCCTCTGCCTCCCTCCCTCCCACCCTCCCTCCCTCCCTGCCTCCCTCCCGCAGCCTCCATCAGCCTGTTGTCCCTGGCCCTGTGGTAGGGCAGTTTCTCCGCAGTAAAGGCAGCAGGATTTGCCAGGGGGGGCGGTGCAGTTTGGGTAGGGCCAGGTGCTGCCGCCTCCCTCCAGGCTTCCTGCCTTTTCTCTTTAGTTTGTATTCAAACAGAGTTTCATTTATTTATTTTGCCAGATGCATCCTACTTTCTCTAATTGTACTTTTTATATTTTTATTAGTATCTCTTGATAATTGTCTCATTTTGGCTTTCTGAGACAGTCTCACTGTGTATTCTAGCCTGTCTTTCAACTCACTGCAAAGCCCAGGCTGGCCTCAATTTTATGGCAGTCCTCCTCCGCTCTGAAATCACAGGCATGCACCACAGCACCCGGCTTTTCTATTACCCTGTACCTAAAAACGGTATCTACCATTTATTCTTATTCTCTAGCTCTTGGCTATGGCAGCCGAATGCGTTCTTTATACTTTCTTTCACTCCTAGTATTACTCAAAAATGTTTGTATTTGTTGCTAGGAAACCCTAATATTTAAAAGTCACATATGGTCTAACAGTGCTTTTGTTACAAAGGCTGACTTTTTAAAGTAAGTTTTTAAAGAAGGCTCCCTGCTTTATCTTTGAGCCTGTAACTACTACCTTATTAGTGTTCTTGTTTTACATAAACTTAGATAGTTTCTAATTTAGGATCTTATTACACCCTTAAAAACTTTTGAGGGAATTTCACTTGTATCATTATTAGTGTATTAGTTATGTTGAGGGTTTATGTTTTATTTTGTTTTGAATATAGGGGCTTGCTATGAACTTACTAGAAGCCCAAGCTGGCCTCCTGCTCACTGCAATCCTCTTGCCTCAGCCTCCCAAGAGCTTGGATTACAGGCATGCTCCACCACGCCTGGCTAGTGTATTAATTTTTTAGCTCCTATTAAAATAAGTGGCATATGAGTAGTTCTATCTTAGGTATTTAGGGGTTGGCTTTATTATCATGACATGTTATTTTAATGGTATATAGCAATGATATGAGATGATTTTATAATCAACCATTTGTAAAGGCTAAATTAATAAGGACCTTCTGCAAGAATTTGAAGGGGAGCTGCAGGCTGGGCTCTGGCTGGAGCTTCCTAAGGTGATGTGTTTTGACTAGACCTGCTTAGAGACAGGGAAGCATTTGGAAATAAAGGGCAAAACTTTGGGCAGCTAGGTAAACAGTGAACACATTGGCAGGGAACAGTGGTTAGTACTGCTTGCTTTCCAGAAAGTGCTCCGCGTTAGAATAGCCTCTGGCCAGTTTGATTCTGCATGCCTCCCAAACAGCGCCTAATCTCGTACTGCTGTCTGTTTTCCACGTGCCATTACCCTACTGGCGAGAACTAGTTGGGTGACCCTACAGGCCTCCGAGGCCCTCTCAGCCTGCTACCTAGGCAGGATTAGTCCCACCGGGGACTCCTCCCTCACCACTGTTGGGCTCTTGCTGCCTTGAGAGCACGCTAGAACTGTGCTCCTTTTGGGATCATTTCTGCATAAAGCTGCTTGGTACTGCTGAGGTTCAGTGGGGTACTGGGCCGTGAGCAGGGCTCCTGAGGTGGCCCACGACAGTTGGATTGCATCTACTGGAGCCTTTACTCAGCGGTGTCCTGTGCAAGGCCTTGAACCAAAAAAGCAAGTAGTTTGGGCGGGAATGTGTGTGAGGAGGGGACCCACCCACTCTGAGAGGGGGTGGCCTGTGGCTTCCGGGGAAGGTGGCTTCTCAGCGGAGCCTGCCTGGTTTGGTCCTGGAGCAATGGAAGGCTTCTTGCCAGTGTGGCAGGCCTGGGGTGGGGAAGGGAGCTGAGCCCCGCGGTCTCCGCCCACTGGGCGCTTTCCCTCACTTCCTCTTCTCTGCCTGTGTTTCAGTTTGTTAATAGCACTTCTCACTGTCCTGTAGAAAGGGTTCTAAAAAGGCTGTTATTCACCAGTACCGAAAAAATAATTTGGTTTTAAAATCATTTTCTGTCACCTGTTGGCACTCATCATCATCTGACCTATTATTTCTGTTCCCTAATTAGAATGTTAGTTCTAAGAGGCAGGGCACTGTTTTATCCCTTGCTTTACCCCTCACATCCAGGCCAGCTCCTGGGTTAGAGCAGGTAAAGAAAGATCCAGTGGTTGTGGAGTGGATGAGGGCCCAGTCCTAAGCACACCAGCTGGCTGGTGTGTGTCTGATGCAGGTCGTTGTGATGGCTGCCCCGCATGTTGGGAGGGGAGGCTCTCCCTGATGGGACCACACTGTCTGAGTGCGCCCTGCAAGGTGGGGCGCTCAGGAGGGGAGCCACGGCCCTCAGGCTGTAGGAAGCAGGGCAGTTAGGCCCTGAGCACCTATGGGCGGTGACAGTAATTGATTTTGAGTTGTCCCTTGTTTATTGGAAGTGGATCTCTTTCCTGAACAGTGTGTGATTATTAACGCCAGAACTATATTGTGCTAACTTGATCTATTCTTTTCATCACAGGAGGCTGAACAGTACTCAGGGGGAAATTCGTGTTGGTCCTAGCCATCAGGTAAATCTTAACAGTTTCTTTAATAGATGTTTATTTCTTAATCTTCTGCTGGCCTTTTATTTTGTTTTGTTTTGTTTCGTTTTTGTCTTTTTCCTTTTTATCGGTACCCGGGATCCAACTCACGACTGCCTGCTTGCAAGGCAGGTGCTTATACCGGTGAGCTAAATCCCCAGCCCCCTTTTATTTTGTTACGTTGCGTCTTAGAAATGTTCTTGCTTTAGGGAATTTTATAATTTCTGTTTCAGATCACCATATACTTTAAACAAATAGTAAAATATATGCAATATAAAATTTGCCATTGTAACCCTTTTTAAGCACATAGTTGAGTGACATGAAATATATACTGTTTTGCAGCCGTCACTGTGACGCACACCCACAGTTCTGTTGTGTGAACTACAGCTCTGCCCAGTAAGTGGGGCTCCCTGTACTCTCCTGCCCTAGCCCAGCACCACCAGCTGCCCCCTTCTCTATGTGTTGGACTGCTCTACCCCAGACCGATGGACTCCTGCCCCCCCCCCCCCAGCTGTTTATGACTGGCCTACTTCACAAACCTGATGTCTTCATGTTTTAGCATGTGTTAAAATTTCCTTCCTTTTGAAATCTGAATAATTCATGGTGTACCTGTGTCATGGTTTTTCTATTCATCTACTGATGAACAACATTTGGTTAGCATGTATATTTATTTAAAAGGATTTTTAGGCTAGTGATGTAGCTCAGTGGTAGATTGCTTGAGTTATATGCATGGTAATTTGGGTTCAAGCCCAGCCCTCAATCTTAAATAAAAAGACTTACTTCTTTAAAAAACCAGCCTTTCCTGTTGAGTGTGGTGGCATATCCCTGTAATCCCAGCACTCAGGAGACTGAGGCAGAAAGGTTGTGAGTTTGAGGCCATTTGGGTTACATCATTGAAGGCCAGCCTGAACTGTATGGTGAGACCTTGTCTCAAAAGAAGCAAAGCAAACCAAACGTGCAGCTTTCCCTTCAGAAGATGGAGTGGCTAGTGCTTTCTGATGGGAGCCTTGTTGTGGCATACCCTGTGCCCTTCTGGGTTTCACGCAGTCTACCGATCGATGTCAGTTAGGGTGCTCTGACTGGCATCCTCCAGCTCAGTGTGGTGGCTCACGTCCCATGACTGGCTAGCCTTTGCGAAGATCCTCTTGGTGTCGCTTGTCTTCCTTGGGCTGGCTTCTCATGCAGGCTCTTGGCTGCATTTTACTGATTCTGAGATGCGTTAAGTTCACATTTCATGTCTGCCTTGCTGTGGTTGTAGTTCACTGGCCACATTTGTCCCGCCTTAAGCACGTAAAATAGTGATGGATCTTACAGTCAGTTGAATACATCAAATGTTGAGAAGCCTTTCTTTTTTTTCCCTTTGGGAAGTGGAACAGTTTCCCCAGAAAATCTCATGCAGCCTCCGTCTCTGTGGGTTGGGTCCCATGCCTGTTTCTAAACCCTGCGGGAGGGGGACCAGCAGGGTCAGCGTGGACTGTTACTGTTAGTGGTCAACAGCGAGGCTGCTTATAAGTAGGCGTGTCAGATACAGGCAGCAGTGATCTTATATGGCAGAGGGACTGTCAGGGCCTTCTGGCACTTCGTGTTTCTGTTTAGATTTTGAGTACTTTTGATATGCTGTTCATTTTTTTTTTTTTTTTTGCTGTTCGCATTTTTAAAGAATCTACTTCAACTGTGTAATGAGAGAAAAAACTTCAACAAAAGTATATTAAAACCAAAACACAGACACTATCAGCTGTAGACGCTTTCTGTTAGACACTCTCTGACTCAGGCGGGACGAACTGTAGGAGGACACCCGTGTCCCCCGCCTCGCTGCCTGCGTTGTTCCTGGGCTGCTCAGTGGGCCACCCTGATGACCACGGCTGGCTGTGCGCTCTTTTTCCACTTCTTTTCCCTCCTGTTGTAGGTTTCCAGTGTCCTCGTATCTTTGTACCTGCTCCTGTGTTACAGATTTGTTTCCTGCTGCTACAGAAAAAATGATTCCTCAGTAAAAAATTATTAAATTTTTAGGCAATCAGATTTACTATGCTTAGGTTTCTGTATACTTTAAAATCAGGTATTAGTATCAGGAAATAGCCTCTGTATGCTTTATTTTCAGAAGGGAAGGTTTTGCAGCACCCAAAAGCATGTGACATGAATTGGTATCATCTGTCTTCTTAAAATTCTTACTGTTTTTTTTTTTAATTCTTACTGTTTTATTAGGGGCGATAGTGACACATAGCAAAGGCATGAAAAGTGAAGTAACACCCTTGTCATTGCTCAGTTCCCACAAATACCAAATCAGAGTCAGACCGGTTTCTTTCTCCCTCCCAGCTCTTCCCACCATGATTTCAAAATGTGTTACACATATTTCAAGGAGAAAGCCTCCTTCCTTCTCCTCTTCCTCCTCCCTCCTCCCCTCCCTCCCTTGATTTGGTCATAAACCAGGTGTGGTGGTGCACTCCTGTTTCCTAGCACTTGGGAGGCTGAGTCAGGATTGTTGCAAGCTGGAGACCCTGAGATACAAAGTGAGCCCAAGGCCAGCCTGAACCACATAGTGAGACCTGTCTCAAGAAGGCCCCCCCCCAAAAAAGGTGCAGCCTTAATATATATCACCAAATAAAGATAAAAACTTACCTGATATTCAAAAGTCTGCTATATCTAACTTTCTCCTTTTTTAGTAGTTCAAATTAGAATCTACATAAGAGCTATTTTTTGGAATTGGCTGACCTGTCTATTTTCAATCCCTTTAAATTCATAGGGTTCTGTGCTCAGGGCATGTAAAATGGAGAAGTGAGCATTGTGTCCAACAGGCTGACCACAGTCCAGATTCGGCTGACAGCATCTCTCGGTGGAGGACGTGCAGATGTAGGGGTGGAGCCCGAGCCTGGACTGTGGGAGGCATGCACTCTCCTCTGAGATGTGTTTCCACCCTCTTACAAAAACAGTTAAGATAGGGTCCTCCTGAGTTGCCAGGTTGGCCTCCAGTTGGCTTCCTGAGGAGCTGGGATTATGGGTGTGTGCCACTGTGCCTGGCTGATGGCGTCTTTTTGTGCTGTTAAACTTTGTTTTTTAAAGCACTAACTGGCAATTGAACCTAGAACGTGAGCACTGATGATCTACATCCCCCATTCATTTTTGTTTTTTTATTTCAAGACAAGATCTGAGTTGCCTCAGCAAGGCTCATACTTTGCTTTGTCCTGCCTCATCCTTCTGGAGTGCTGGAACCGTAGGCATAACCGACTCCACCGTGCCCGCCTCAGTTCTCGGCCTGCCTGGCTCCCATCCTCCTTCCCTTCCTCTGGCCCCACTCTTTTTGAGATAAGCTCTCACTGTATGGTCCAGGGTGGACTCGAACTCCTGGACTCGGGTGGTCCTCCTGCCTTAGCCTCCTAAGTAGCTAGGATTATAGGCATGTACCACCATGCCCTGTTTGTCCACTACATTTCCTAATAGTAATTACATCTATTAAATTCAATCACATTCTAGTTTGGTACTCGTGCCTCCCACAGAGCACTTCATGAGTAGTGGTATTTGTGTATACCGGGGCACACATGTCTCTTTTTAACGATAATTGCTGACCATTGATTATTCTATAGATCCATTTATTTCATTAGAGCTTTCAAAATAGTGCTAATCTAATTTTGTCATCTCTTCATTTATTCACTAAGTGAGTGAAACTTACTCCATATTTACTAGTGGACTGGGTGAGACGGTTTTGATTCTTACTGGATTGGTTACTATTTCCAGGCTGTTTCAGTCAACAGAAGTAGGAAATACTGTTAGGTTTTTCCTCTCCTTTTTAAGGATGAAATATGGTGTGAGTGCAGGCTGTTTCTCATACAGCTTCTTGTCTTTTGCTGCTGCTGCTGCTGCTGTTACCTACAGGTAATAGTGAATGACTCGAAGCAGCGCAGGTGATCAGAGACTCCTGTGCTGTGTCGAGACAGGCTGTTGCTTTGTAGCTTCACACTTCTGGCGATCCTCCTGCCTCAGCTTCTGGAGTGCTGGAATTACAGGAGTGTGGCACCAAGCCACATTTATCATTATCCTTTATATTAATGCTGCTGTCCTTTATCTACATGTATGTCTCCTATCCTCCGTCTGATTTTTAATGACACCACTGTAATTCTTTGATTTTATTATACAGACACATGTAACAGGCAAGAGTGTTTATATATAGAAACAGCTGGGAAATCTAAAACTGACACCTCTGCAAGCAGCATGAAACGGTGTGTGCTGGGGATTGAATGGGAATGTTTTTGATTATTTTTTGATGCTGGGGTTGAGCCAGGTCATTGTGCTTTGCCACTGAGCTGCACACTTATTCCCCTTGGAAGGCGCAGGCTGTTCTGTTCTGCTCTGCCCTGAGACTGTCCCCGACTAGGGCTGTATAGACCTGTTCATACATTGGAAGTACTTGAAGTAATTACTGGAATGGAACCAATTCAACACATAAGCATTTACTATTCCTGTGTTTTGCTTTACTTTTTATGAGAGCCTTATTTTTTTTTTTAATCTTTTTATCGGTACCAGGGATCAAACTCAGGACTGCCTGCTTGTAAGGCAGGCGCTTATGCCGCTGAGCTAAATCCCCAGCCCCAAGAGCCTTATTCTTTGAACTTATTTTACTCCCTCTTCCTTTTTTGGCTAAATGATAGTGTAATGTACATTTTTGTCCGTACCTTCCGTTTTCCTTTCAGCATTCTGTCCTTCTGTATCTGCAAGCTGTCACCCAGTGCCCTTTCCCATTCCTGTCTGCGAATGAGTGGAGCAGTTCTTTCTTCTGTCTATGTCAAGTCAGTCACTGTTACCTGGAGGGCAGGGGTGTTTGCCTTTGGAGGGTTTTGCTACATTGCCTTCTGAAACCTTGTGAAAGATGACAAATGGCCTCCTTAGTTTTCCTTTCTTTTGTCAGGAAGGCTGACCATCATCTCCTGTGATTAAAACCATTGCCGTTTCTTTTTCTGTGTACATTAATTATCTGTGTGATCTGTTTGGGGGAGGAGGTTTGGTCCTGCACCCTAAACAAGAGCTTCTGTTTAATTAGCATGACAAGAGGCCCCTGCAGAGCTGCCCCAGCAGGTGCTCTGCTTGGTGCTAAGCACTAATGGGAAAGACCTTTTGATACCACTATCTGTTGGGTTTTTATTTTACCCCAACCTTCACTATATGTTAAGCAAAACTAAAACATTATAAAAATCAATTCCAAGGCAAAGTACAGTATCCTTGTTTGGAGAAGGTCAGAGTTTTACACACATTGGAGATATAAAGACAGTCTAGAAAGCAGAGGCTGAAGACTCCTGGCCTGAGATCCACAGGGCCAGTGCAGATGATGTTCTGCCACACTTTTCTTGACAACTTGAGTATTCAACACTTGCACATAAAAGATTTCTCAGCTGCAGAAATGCTGGAGCCGATCCTACGCTGTTGTCCGTTCCTGCATGGCATTGACTGGCGCTCTCAGTGGCTGGCTCTGTCTCGCCGTTGTGCACTTCACTTCAGAACACCTGCGAGGCCCTCCCGGAGCAGGTGCCACCATGGCTGCTGAGCACTCGCAGTGTGGCTGGCGCAGATCGGGCTGTGAGAAGTGCAACCCACGGAAGCTAAATGTGCCACTCTGTGTCATTTCTGTGGGACGAGGAGGGCTCCTCTGTGTAGGTCTGGTGATGGTGGTAGAGAAGCTTACCCTGCTGTGCCCCAGCTCAGCAAGGGTGAGAAAATGCTGAACATGTAATCTGATGACCTAGAATTTGGTTGTTGAGCACTGTTGCTAGGTATTCTGTAGTTTTTTGAGTATACTTTGTATATGGCAAATTGTTGTGTTTGTCATTCAGTGTATACCGGTGATTTGTATCAAGACACAGAACATTTCGATTATCTCAGAAGGTTCCTTAATAACTCACCTAACACCCCATGCACAGATCTGTTTCTAGCAACACAGCACCAGTCAACTATGTTTTTCACCTTAACTTCACTAGTTCGTTTTTTCTGTTGACTTAAGTTTATATTGCTACTCACTCTCCTGAGAGTAACAAAATAGGATAGTTCATTTGGAAATTTTAAACAATCAAAAAAAATTTTCTTGAACAATCCTTAGGTGAAGTTTTATTTGTGTGTGTTTTCTTTGTAAGTTTGTTACACTGGAAATGATGTGTGTATTGCTTCTTTACAAGTAGGTGTTATCCCCTGCAGGTATTTCTGGTTTTGTTTATTTTAGTCACACATGCTCATTTCGGGTTTAGTCTTTGGGTCACATTGGCGTAGCATTCCGCTGCGCATGTGCTGCTCCCTAACGAGAGATGAAGCAGTCTGTGGTGATGTCTTGTATGGTGCAAGGGTCCTGACCAGAAGGATAGGCCAGCTTAAATGGCTCCCAGTTTTCCTGTTGCTTTTCTGCTGCCCAAGGAGAGCATTTGTTCCCAAGCACCATGACTGGGAGAGTGCTTTTTGGTTCTGGCTTTGATTGTGATTCTGCATCCCTGTCTTGCAGGCCAAACTTCCAGATTTGCAACCGTTTCCTTCTCCAGATGGTGACACAGTGACCCAGCATGAGGAGCTGGTTTGGATGCCTGGAGTGAATGACTGTGACCTCCTGATGTACTTGAGGGCAGCAAGGTAATAGCAGTCAGCCACATCCCTTTCTCAGGCCACGCGAACTGGCTGGCAGGCTGTAAACTCTCCTTTCCCCTGGAATTTTACTTATTTGTTGAGCATTCTCCGACTTAAGTTTGTTGTGCCCTCTGTAACCAGAGGCCTTGTCTTCTTGCCCGATAAAAAAAATTATCGTGGTAAAGTCATTATTTTTCTTCCTGGAATCCACCCCACATCAGACTTTGAAACCCTTAAGAAGAAGAATATCTTCACTGCAGCTGAGTAACGGGGTCATTCACCCCATGTCAGCACCACTGAGAGTCCATGTTCTCTCTCCCTCGTGGCTGTTCCTTACTGTCCAATCCAAACTGGACATTTTTGTGGCTTACCACATGAGAACATTTACCTGTGACTTCTTACACCGCTCGCTAATATGCAGATGTCAACATACAGAAGAGAAGTTTAAACCCGTCACAGCGTAGGCAGATGCTTTTTTTGTCTGCAGTACTTTTGGGACTTACTGTGGTGTTGCCAGTGTGCAGCAGAGGAAACCCGAAAGAAAGACCCCAGGCTTCAGAATTCTTAACAATTTTTTTTTTTTGTCTTTTTCGTTTTTATCGGTACCGGGGATCGAACTCACGACTGCACACTTGCAAGGAAGGCGCTTAAGCCGCTGAGCTAAATCCCCAGCCCTCAGAATTCTTGCTGTGGGCGGCCCTGTCCGCAGCTCTCACTTGGTGTCACTCACACTGGAGGGAGGGGCCGTGTGCACTGGGGTGACTACTAAGGCTTTCTCCTAATGTTTTAATTTACCTAAAGGAAGTTGATGTATAGGTGAGAGGAATTAAATTTCAGAGGGTTAACTTCACCTGTTTTTCTAGACTTTCTCACCTTTTTTCTTTAACAAGGAGCAGTCAGCTTTATTTTAGTTTACTTCTTGGCAGTACTGGGGATTGAATGAGGGCCTTCACACAGAGATGCATCCTCGCCCTTTAATCTTCTGAGATGGGGTCTTCCTGAGTTGCCGCCTGGGTTTGAGTTTGTGATTCTCCTCCCCCAACCCCCCAGAGTGCTGAGATTACAGGTGTGTGTGTGACCACACCTGGCTGATACCTCTTTCAAAAATTCATAACCTAGGGCCAGGGCCTTAGCTCAGCAGCACAAGTGCCTGCCTGGCAAGAGCAGGGTCATGAGTACCATCCCCAGTACCAATAAATAGAGAATGAAATAAAAGAAAATAAGAGTATAGTAGGAAATGCACTGAAACCTGAACCTTACAACTGTACTATGAAAGCAAAGGAAGAAATGACAGTGGGTCTGACTGAAAGCAGTTTTTCTGTCCTGAAGGAGTGAAGGGCTGCAGGAGCAAGGCGGTGCTAAGGACCCTGCTTATATTTAAGCAGGTAGGAATGGACTTGCCTCTGAGCTGAGATGTATTTTGAAAATTGAGGCATAAAATCTCTGTACTGAGATGCCTGTGTGCTGATGAAGGAAAACTCCCTTTCTTCTGAAGGAGCATGGCAGCGTTTGCAGGGATGTGCGACGGAGGCTCCACGGAGGACGGCTGTGTGGCTGCGTCTCGGGATGACACCACCCTGAATGCACTGAACACAGTAAGTCTTTAGAAGTCGCCCTGAGACAGTTCTCCCTGACTGCAGTGTGCTGCACACAGCGGTCTCTGTGCGGTACGAGGAGTCTCGGCCATAGCCCTCGGGCCTGTGTCTGCAGCTGCGGCTCAGGCTCCGGCCGGGTTCCTGTCGCGCTCTGGCTGCACTGCAGCGTTCAGGAGTCACAGTGGGGTCTGCCAGTGGTACTTGATGCTTACTGAGACCCACAAGGCAGATGCTGTGGGTGTGTGATTTTCATGAATTCTGTATTATTGTCACCTTTCTAGACACACGAAATCAGATTAGGGAAATTAAGTCACAGTCCAAGGTTACATAGTTGATAAGATTATATCTAAAAGATGAGAAATATAAAAGAAAAGAGGCCTTTATTCTGAGAACGCCGAGAGAGAAAACCAAAACCCCCGACCCCTGTATTCCGACTTTCTTTCTTGTGGACACGTGGTGTGTGTGTGTGGGGGGGGGGTTTATAAGTAGCCTAAGCTTAGGGTAGTGCCCTAGGGCCATTAGAGATGCACAGGTATTTCATTGGCACACGTTTGGCGCCAGGGGCAGATTCCTAAGGGTGGGGGAGATAGAGTCACTGGTGAATCCCTAGGGGTGGGGAGATAGGAGCTCCCTGGTTCCCGTTGAGGCTTTTCTGGCTACAGAGCCCTGTCTGGGCCGAAACTCTTTCAATAGTCAATAGCTGAGTCCAGAAGCTGTGTGTTTAACCTTCTTCACTTATTTCTCGCTGTTCACATGGGAGTGCTCAGAAAGATAGAGAAGAACCAGGACTTTGTTGGGTGAACTTGATTATTTTGGATCATTTAATAGGTCACCAAGTATAAAACAAAGTTAAGTTTTAGAAATAATAATCCCAGGGATTGGGGATTTAACTCAGCGGCATAAGTGTCTGCCTTGCAAGCGCATGGTTGTGAGTTCAATCCCTGGTACTGGTTTAAAAAAAAAAAAAGAATCCCTAAGAAATCAAAAGTGAGATGACGTAAGTGAGCCTAACGGTACTCAGTTTGCTGCACAGTCCGTCCCTGCAGGTGCTCACTTTACCCTGTGCCATCTCACAGCAGTACAGAGTGCTGTGGGTGACAGCCGCCGTGTGCACGGCGCTGCAGGCACTCTGACTAGTGATCCCAGTTTTATGACTTTTTGACACTTTGTTTTGGCCTTAGAGTGTACCCTAAGGACTGTTTTAGAAATGTAGTATATTTTGAAGTCACATGAAGTTAATTCCTGTCTGTATGGGTACTAATGCCAATTCAAGCCCACCTCTACCCTGGGGCCCTTGTCCTTTAGAGAGGTCAGTATAGTTCGAAGAGATTCACAAGCTCCAAGGCCAGATGACTTGTCAAATGCCATCTACCCAGAAAGCTTATAAGTGGAAAAAACATAGAGAGGAAAATCATCTGTACCCCGAGTTTAGGGACCATTTTACTACACAGTTCTGTACAGTTTGCTGTTGAGGAAGCACCCAGGTGTCAGCTTGATTTGCTTGATTGTTACTGCTCATCTCATTGGGGCTTGGGAGCATTACATAATGATCTTACTGGGGGTACAGCTCTTCTAAATCACTGAGTATTTCACATTTCCCAAAAATGCACTTGTCACTCCTACACTTCCTCACTGATTCCCCACATCCATTTTTATACACAGGTTTCAGCTTCTCACACTATGGGACAACACATTGTTTACACGTGTGTCTGATTATTTCACTGATGAGTATGGTCTCTAGTTGCATCTATTTATCTATAAAAGTCTCAAGTTTATCCCGTTTATGGCTGGGCAGTACTCCATTGTATAAAAATAAATCTTTTTTTATCCGTTCCTCAGTCTGGGCATTTAGATTCTTTCCAAGATCTAGCTATCACAAATTATGCGGCTGTAAACATGGGTACACATGGGTACCATATCACTGTGGTATGTTTTTAATTCTTTTGGGACGAAAGGGAATAGCTGGGGCAATGGTAACTCTAGTCTTAATTTTTTGAGGAAATTTCACACTGATTTCCACAGTGGTTGAACCAGTCTGCGCTACCTCTAACAGTGGAGAAGGATTCTTCCTCCCTGCCCCCACAGGCCCTCTAGCATTGTTATCGATTGATTTCTTGATAATAGTAAGGTAGAATCTCCGTGTTGTTTTCATTTGCATCTCAAGAAAGGCCAGTATTCACTGATTTAATAAGTAGCCTGGGTTTATTTTTTATTAAAAGAAAGACACTTAATCACAACCATGGAGGTGAGGGGCATACCTGTAATCTCAGCTCTCAGGGGACTGAAGCAGGAGGAATGTGCGTTCCAGTCTAGCCCTAGGCTACATAGTGAAACCCTGTCCCAGAAGAAAGGCAGGTGAGGGGAAGAGAGGAATAAGCATAGAGTTATAAGCATAGAGTGATAGGACACATTTTTTGTTTATTTTACAGGTGAGGTGACAGATGCATTGCTGGCTAATTCTGTTAACAGGATAGGTGAAATGTGTGAATTGGTATACAGTCTTTTTTTTTTGTCTTTTTTCCTTTTTATCGGTACGGGGGATTGAACTAACAGCTGCCTGCTTGCAAGGCAGGCGCTTATGCCGCTGAGCTACCCAACCCCTCAAGGACAGTCTTTAATACAGATTTCTCTACTAAGATTTTTGTAAAAAGACTAAAAATTCTTGCATGACTGGGCTAATCAATTGAGTTTTGAATAATGAAGATTTTACTGTATTTAATTGTCTATTTTTGGCACTTCATTCTTATTCCAAACCCTCTAAGGATTGTGTAGAATGAAATTCTATCCAGAAATAATTTCAGCTATTTTTATCCGCGGTCCTTTGTGGCAGCTCAGGAGTTCTATCTTCATGAAGCTGCCTTCCCATCATTTCTCATTCTTCTGTCTACCAGCCTGCGCGGGCCCAGACTGTGTCAGGCATCACCCTTATATGTAGGGACTGAGGATTGTGGACGTGTATGCTGTGCACACATCTTGTGATCAGTGCAAGAGTTTACTGTGTTTTAGTTTTCGTACTCTTTTGTTGTACTGGCTCTAAAGAGGTTGCTGTAGGTACTTTCTTAATGGACAGTAACGTGAATGAAAAAGTCTTATGAGAAGTTAAAGTTCGATTACCTTAGAGTAGTAGAAGATTTGAGTTGGATCAGCCAAAAAATTAAAAAGAAAAAAAATTGTTATGTGCAAAGTATGTTTTCCTTAGATTGATTAAAATTAGATTAGGCATTTATAAAGTAGAATCAACCTGAATCGTTAGTGTCTACTGTACTTCCTATTTCTTGAGGCAATGTAGAAATGTAAAATATGAGAACTTTCACCTCTTTATATGGTGGGCTTTTTTTTTTGGAACCAGGAATCAAGCTCAGGACGTTGCACTTGCCAGGCAGGCGCCATGCTGCTGAGCTATATTCCTGGCCCCTGTGCGGCCTGTTTTATAGTGGACTAATTTGAAATGTAAAACCTTGGGTTACTTATTTTGACTCTTTTTTTCTCCTTCACAATTCTCAGATGAAGGTTTTAGCAATAATGTGTGTGTGCAGGGAATTGAACCCAGAGCTGCTTACAGGCTAGGCAAGGCTGTACCATGAGCTGCATCCCTGCCTTGGGGTGCAGCACTTAAAACAACTTCTTATGATGGACTTTATAGAGACTAAAGCGCTCTGATCTAAAGGCCATCATTTCGTGAGGTTTTTCCCCCAGAATTATACATCTGGCATACACAAGATACAAAATGTCCAAATTTCCCGAGAGTTGCTGATTCCCAGTTGCATTCCTTAGCTGCCTGTCATCTGCAGGCCCCAAAGGTCGGGTGACTGCGATCATACGAGGCGCTCTGCCTCTCACACCTCTCACATGCTCGTTTTAAGGCCTATTTATGGTGTCTTATGTGTCAGTAATTTGTTCCATTTTTTATTATGTATTTTCACAATTGTATCCATTCATCTGGTGCTGCAGTTTTCAGTTGCTTCCAAACGTTTGGTAATTATTTATAAAGATTTTCTGAGCATTGCTGCACAAGTGTGTGTGGCTTTGCATTTTTACTTCTCTTGGTAGAGTGGCAGAATTCATTGTGGGGAGTTATTGCTTTATGAAACCATTGAACAGCTTATCATTGTACATCCTCTTCAGGAATGTGTTGGGATTTTAGGTATTTTGTCATCTTCGCTGAAAATTGGTTTCAGCAGACCTCTTAATTTTAGCCTTCTTAATGGGTGTGCGGTGTTACAAAAGTCTCGATCAGGTTTCTTGATGGTTAGTGATGATAGTAGTCACTGTTCTCACTGCTGAGACATGGTACCCACAGCTTAAGCAGAAGAGGTATAGTTTGACCCACAGTTTCAGGGGATTCAGTCCATGCATGGCCGGCTCCGAAGCAGAAGCACCACAGTGGAGGGTGGCCACGGAACAGAGCTGAGAATGCCAAGCGGAGGGGCAGCCAGCCCGCAGACCTTGTCTGCCTGCCCACTGCACAGTCCTGGGAAGGTGCTGTACCCGTGCCCTGCGTGGGTCAGTTTGGGGCGCCCCTCCAGCCGCCACCAGGCGCTAATAGCATCTCATCTCTTACTTTCCTTGTCGTGCAACTTCCTCTTAGGAATTACATGTTCAAATCTATTGTCCAATTTGAAAATACGGTTATTTGTCCTTTATAATTTAGTTGTCAGAGTTCTTTTGTCTTCCAGATAGGAGTCCTTTGCTGTATGTGTTCTCCTGTACTATGTCCTGGGTATTTTATTTTTCTAAAGTGCCATAAACCATTCTCTTCCTTTTATGAAAGTATCTCTGATTACACAGAGGTTACAAAGATTGTTTCTGTGCCTCCCTCTAGAAGCTTTACTTCTTACATTGTGAATTAATCTTGTATGTGATGCTAGATAGGCCTGAAAATTGATTCCTTCCTATCCAGATGGGAAGTCATTGGAGCAGCGTTTGTTTAAAAGACATTTTTCTCATTTAATTGCTTTGAAATTTTTTTAAAATCAGTTTCTGTCTGTATGTTTGGTTCT